ATAATATTATATAAAAATATAATTATTAAATTATAATATAAAATTAAAAAATAATTCAAGAATGTTTCTTTTAACTAAGGATTAATTTGTTACATGCATAAATGCAATAATATTGCTACCAGTTAAAAAATATATATATTAACATTTCTTAACATATAAAAAAATTCTTAATTTCAATATTAATAACAGTAATGATAAAAATAAAAAAAGGAAAATTACTTACCAAATTTAATAGATAAACGTTGGTGACAGTTCTCATTCGTTTGTTTCGTGTCAAAGTAATCAACACTAAACAATTTCCAACGATAGATAAAAAAAAAATAATAGCATATAGTGGTACGATTAAATTTTCGAGTAAATTTTTTTTACTGGATTGTACAATAGTCGTTGGAGTTCCATTAAAATTATTCGAAATAAAATTTGTATATCCTGATAAATATGGAATGACCGATGGTGAATATTCATTATTTTCCCAGGAAAAATGATCACCGATAAATGAAACATTATTGTTCTCCATAAGTGTCATATTTTTTTTCGTTTTATATTATTATTGATCTCTTCTACTTATATTATATTTATTCGTATTCATGTAATATGTATATATATATTTTTTTATTTATTTAAGTTATGAGAATAAATAATTCTTTTTAAGAAAATCATATTCTCAATAATTCCACGTATATTATTGAATTTTTTCGTCCCACCATAAAACTACTAATTCTTCTTCTTCTTCTTTCGTATTTCATTTTATTCGTTCTTCTTTTATACTTATTCATTTATTTATTTTTTTTCCTATTTTGTTATTCTCTATTTCTCTCTTGAACATTTTATATTCTTATTTTCTACATATTTTATCGATATTCAATTTTTATTATAACAAATCCGAATAACGAGCAATACATGATATTTCATAATCCAACATATGATACCGTTTTGTCCTTTGAACATCTTCTTTTATTTATTTCTTTTTTCTTTTTTCAATAGAAGATCCAAGGAGATAATGAAAATAATATCTTATATCACAGAAAAACGTACGTAATAACTTATTAATGTTATTATTATTATTACTGTTTATTTAATTATTTGAAATCACTGATAAACTTAGTAATCGTCGTTTGTTAAATGGAGAAAATTGTTTACATTTTAATCATAAATTACTTTTGTTCGGTTTCTACATTTCAATTGAAATTTCGTAGAAAAGTTTTATGGATGAAATAAAGAATAAATAAAATTCAAAAGAAAATCTGAAAGAGTTTTAAAGTATTAAATAATAAATAAATAGCAATAAATAAATATATAATTATTATATATAATATATTATATATATTATTATAATATATTATATTATTATATTAATTTAATTATATTTATATTAATATAATTAATAATTAATTTATATTAAAATATATATATATATATATATATTACAAATATAAATTATTATAAAAATTATAAATATAATAATATAAAATTAATATATTTTATATAATCATATTTTTAATATAAATATAATTAATATATTTTACATATTTATATTTTTAATGTAAATTAATTAATTAATATATCAAATATATATTTTTAATTATATATATTACTATATATAAAAAAAATAATAAATAAATATTACACACATAAAATAAGTAATGTGTGTAAAAAAATTCACGAAATCAATTAATTTTAAAATCAAAAGAATGTTACTTAGTCTACTTTTGTGTGTTTTTTCTTCGTACAATTATTATATTATACTTTATGCTTCACAAATGATATAATGAAAATAATAATTATTATTAATTATTTGACTATAGATACAATAATTATCATCGCGTGGGTTATGGCATTATCGTTATCGTCATAATATAATAATATTTGCGATTAATAAATGTAAATGGTTGTTACGTAACTACGATCTACAGGGTAGTACAAAGAAAAAAATGTTTTGGGGGGTTGTAATATTTTATAAGCTTTGCAGTTATTACTTGTTAAGAGATAATAAAAAAAAATAAATAAATAAATAAATATTTAATTAACATAGATCATAATAATCAATTCTTTTGAAGTAAATAATTTTTTATTATTTATGATTATTATATGTGCTTATAATTATGAAAGTGGTCTAAATCAAATTAAAAAAAAAAAAAGAGTTTATTAGTTATTACGTACCACATTATTTTAAACTAAATAAATTCAACGTAATTTTCACGATATTGTCAAAAATGAATCGTTAGATAATGTTTGTTATTTCAATATTACATAGAATTCATATAGTGTTCAAATAAAAATCTTTAAATATCTTGAATCAAGAAATACATGACTTAGACCACTTTCATAATTATGGGCACATATATTTAATATTATAAGAGAGTATTATCAGAATATATAATATTTATAGAATTTTATAATTGAAAATTTAATCTTTGTCAATAAAGTATTACTTTTTCTGAAATCTATTTTTAAAGTATCATAATTTTAACAAACACACCCACGCTTAGATAATATTTTTTTATAATTCCATTGATCAAAAATTTTAATTGACATTATCCGTACTTTTTAAATGTAAAACTTTTTTTAAGTAAGTTTCTTAATCAAACAAATGTTGACATTTAACGTCTTTTAAAAATAGATTTATTTTAATCTGGTCACGTTTCAACTTTTCACTTTTGTGTTTGTGTTTGTGTGTGTGTGTGTGTGTGTGTGTGTGTGTGTGTGTGTGTGTGTGTGTGTG